AGGAGTAGAACCTAATCTGATTCTAAAGTGGGGGGTATACCAGGAAAAGTTTTCCAGGAAGAATAAAAAGAAAGAGCATGAAATGAGAAGGGATACCTGATTACTCCCCATCCATGACAGAGGCTCCCTGAAGGAAACACATAATTAATAGTGAAGTATACCTAAATATGTGTGCAACACATCTGAAAAACAAAATATTATCTTTTGATAGACAATTTATACTTCAAGATGCCGTTCAAATTCAAACTATTTTTTTAGAATGATTATTGTTCGGAAGAAAAGGGTAAATTACATGACTTCTTGGGAACTTTTGAGCATATGAAAAACTAGACAAAGGTCCACAGAATTACAAAATTTCCATCAGAATCATTCCAATTTATTAATAGAGGGAGGAATCTACTATACTAGACCTAAAGCCCTACATTCTCCTTTAATCTTCAACATTAACACTAAGCTCCCTACTTCTCTCATCAGGCAGCACAGTCTGAACTTCCTCATTCCCCTCCAGCAGGAAGAGAAAATTGTAAGCTCTAATACACTTAAAACAGATGTGGAATCCAGCTGTAATTTATAAGGAAATTTGCAAAAACTTAAAATAATGCAGCTCTTCTCAATACAACATGTATAACAAGCAGTTATTTTCATAAAATTTTACATTTACACGTAATGGGTTTATTATTTTAATTTCAAAATATCCATTTCCCTTTGTATAGATTCTGGTTGAATGTAGCTGAAGGGAAAGTAATGATGAGGTTAATTCCCAGGATCTAATTATGGTGGTGATTTTTCTTAATATTGCTATAAAGATGCTATGCTGTTAAAATTCAAATATTTTCTTATACTCCATGGAGCTTACCCATAACTCTGGCTACTAATGAACAGGGTGTAAATTATATTCCTGGTCCTACAAATGGCTGGCTGAGTAATCTAGGTTGATCACAGTACTTGTGTTCCCAGTTTCCTTGTATGTAAATTGAGGATCATCGTGGTTTACTAGAATAGATTTATTCAAAATGTTAAAGTTTTCTGTAAATCTATTATTATTTCCCATCATTGAATCTTCTTTGTGAATAGGCCTGGTAGGCTAGATTTTCTGTTGATATAATAGAAAAACAAAAATTCCAAAAGAGTTCTATATAATATGTTTCTCCTTGTTTCTGCTTTCATTGTTCTCTTTACAGGAGGAAGGCAGAATGAGTTGATTGAAATGATTTTAGAAATTCTTTTGATATGGAAAAAAAAATCTGTCAACATTGTCTTGAAGTTGGGTCTGTTTTCCCACAGAGCTGCCCCCCGCCGGACTGTGTTTTGGCAGCAACGCTCCTTTGTTCCCACAGCTGCAATCACACACACATTCTTACTCAGGATGTAGCCTATTAACCAGCCTGCTTTGCTGACCAGTCCTTGGATCAAGCGAAAAATTAACATCCATGTATAGTTTGGGGAAATGGCCATGAGAACTCCAGATGTGGCATTTATGAGGATTGTAATTAAGAGGCAGAGCTTACGGCCAAACCTGCAGGGAGAAAAACAAAGAGAGGGAATCAAATTAAATTTCACTCATGAAGGTTGGAGAAAATTCCTGGAAGATAAGAAAATCTAAACAAAATCAGAGGTTAACTCTAAATCATGGAAATAAGGAGGCGCAGACTGACAGCCACAAAGAGAATCCAGCCTTCGGTTCCTTTAGGACTTTTCACCAACCTGCTGCGTATGAAGTTTAAGCACAATGAGCCTCATTCACCAGGGTTAAAGTGTTTCGGTCCCACACCCCCACACCGTGGCAGGTATTCAGGGAGGGGGGAATTCTTCCAGGCCACCCGGTGCCGAATGCCCTCCGGGCCTATCTAGGTATTACACCATCAATAGAGCTGGAGCCTTTGCACTAACAGTCTCAACCAACTGCCCACCCAAGAGAGTTTTTGTCTTGGAAAAAACAAAATTCAATGTTCACTGTACACCCTCATCCCTTTTCAACACGGTCTTTGTGTGTCTGCATGGAAATTGTCTTTGATGCCACACACATTACCATCCCATGGGGCCGTGATTTGGAGCACCCTGGGGAGAGCTTTGATTTGACGGAATTAGGTTGCATTAGTTTAGGGACTCAGAGAGTTGTTCCAATACACAGAATAGAGGAAAAAGTTGGCAACCTGGTTTAATCATGGCCTTAAACTTCACTGGGGGACATCTTCCAAATAAGGATACAATGCTATTTTAAAAAAATAAGGCATGGCTAGAAGAAGTTTGGGAGGTCTAGGGATAGTGGTTTGAGACTCCCCCTCTACTCAACAGAGATACTTAAGTGGTTAAATGAAAAACAAACTGCTGGAATAGGAGAGGAGAGACGGCTTCCAGGACTGCCAGCTTCCTATATCCTTCAGCTACTTGCTACTCAGGACGTGGTCCAGCACTGTCAGCAGGGGACTGGAGGGATGAACCAGCATCACTTGGGAGCTAGTTAGACATGCAGAATCTTGGGCCCACCCCAGACCTGCTGGATCGGAATCTGCTTTTTAACAAACTCCCGCAGTGGTTTATGTGCACCTGAACATCCGGGAAGCAGCACTTTAATTTCACTGAGCCTCAATTTCTTCATATGTAAATTGGATTATAAAATCTGGATAATAAAATCTACTTTAAAAGGCTGTCGTGATCCTAAATGAAATATAACAAATGAAGATGCACAATGAAGCAAACGGCCCACAGCAGTCAGTGGAGAACTTGTTTTGGAAGATCCTGTCTGGTTGGGTAAGTTTGGCTGCAACCCACTGGGACCTCGGTTCTGCTTTGATCTGCTTCCATCCTGGCATACGGACAGTGGGCGCTGGCTCTGGAGAGCTGATTACTAGACTTTCAGAAAATTGGCAAGCTAGTGGTCAAACACCACCATTGTAGAAAATTAAATTATATACACTTACAATTAAATAAATTATATTAAAAACAAGTATAATAAATATGCAAAACTTATTGTTTCCTAATGATTTTGCTGTATTTGGCCATCCCATGCGTGTGAGGTTATTTACATCCGCTGTATCTGCGTAGTGGAACTGTTTCTAGCCAATACTGTGTCCGGTGACCTCACTTTGATAGCTCGAAATGGACCAGGGTGGGCGTGTTTACACCTTGGAAATCAGCAAACAGCACAAACTGGGGCTTTTCTCCGCAGAGAGCCAGTTGTTAAACATTCACAAGCATGCACTAAATAGAACACTTATGATTACTAATCATTAGAGCAAAACACCTGGAATTGGTGAGGGATTACATTTTTGTGCCAAGTGATACTCAAAAATCACTCTTCAGGAGGTTATGGATGATGAAATAAATTAGACATCTTATAAAAGATTCATTCGCAAATTGTCTAACATATGCTCTTCTTTCCCACCCTCCCTCCTTTTCTTCCTTCCTTCCTTCCTTTTCCAAAGTTGACCCTCAAAAAGTTGACTTGGGGTAAAACTCAGTGTTCTTTTTTCCCCCTCTCTCTCTCTCACCCAGGCTGGAGTGCAGCGATGCAATTGTAGCTCACTGCAGCCTCGAACTCCTGGGCTCAAGCCATCCTCCTGCCTCAGCCTCTTGAGTTGCTGGAACTATAGGCGTGCACTATTGCTCCCAGCTTTCTAGTATTCTCGTTTACAACTTTTTCATAATGTCTTCTGGTTTCCTTTTAAAAGACACCCTTATCAGCTATTAGGGCATATTTTAAAAATTCTTCATGGAAGACAATGTTTTATTTAACGTTAGTTTAGTCTGTGGATAAAATATGGGTGTTCATGAGATTCTTGTCCCATTATATAAAATCTGAAAATTGTAGGCATGAATTATGCAAAAAAAATTACTATGTTTTGAATGTTATGGTGGTTGCCGTGTTCCGTTAGGCCACCCTTCACGCTCCTGCCTGCAGGCCCAGACAGAACAGAAGAGGGGGCAACGGCCAGCCGAACTTCAGACAGTTTAAGGAAAGGAGGCAAGTAGACAGCGTTTGAGGGGACAATAATGAGTCATCAACCCTGCAGAGGAGATTTCAACAACGGGAACAGACGATGAGGTGGTCTGAGAAGGTGGGTAACTGTGGATTATAGCTCAGGAATGCACTGTCAGAGGAGATCATAGCCGGTCTCCTACCCATTGAGTGGGATGAAAATAATGACCTAATTTCCTTACCCCACTGTGCAAAGCTCAGTCACCTACGGGCTCACATCCTCCCCCGCGGGCTGAGGGTGAGGGTCTCCACCTTACCGTGCAGGAGGGCGTGGGAGGGAGAGAGGAGTGGCGCGGCCAGACAGCCCCCAGCGAGGTCGGACTCGGGACCCCCCTTGTTAGTGTGTCTCCCTTGACTTAATGGGCCATCTCCAAACAACCTTCCTCAGTGCTGCAGCAGTGAAAATAAAAACAAACGACCTTCCTCTCCACCTCGCAAGCCTCCCGCAGACAGGCCCCTGAGGAGCCTTGCGGCATACGTGGGTGATGCCGCTTCCATCTCTCCTCCTCCTGCTGCCGGGCAGCCCCGACCCCTGTGAAAGGCAGGTGTCCCCAAGGGGGAGGACATTAAGTCGTCATTATTAATCTTCACCACATTTGCAAGTTTTAATCCAGCCCGACAACACCATCAGAGAATAACATTTAATATTATACTCACAGGTTTGGGTTGTTCCATAGACGTAGCGGGGTGCGTGTGGGAGGGCAACAGGCATGAAATGTCTTTAGCATTTATTTCAGAGTTACAGATTCTTGCTTTATACATATACGCTATATGTAATTTATACAGGTACATGCCACTATCTCACTAGGTCACTGATGCTTAAGGAGAATAATACTGTCCAAAATGCTGAGCACACTGCCTGGCGCACAGAAAACACTCAACAAACAGTCGGTCTCACGAAACGAGTGTGGGGTTCTAAAATGCTGGATAAACAAGAGGTAAGAAGAGCCCGGTCAGTGTGAGCACGGAAGACCAGCCGCTGAAGACACGGAGTGCCCTGAGGGCCTTTTGTCCTCTCTCTCCAGAGACACTGAGGTTGTGGAGGAGGAGAGTGACCTCCTTTGGTGCAGACAAATCCTGATTTCCTTCCATAGATCACATCCTAGGTTCCACACACAGTCACATCTGGCCCCAGGGACCCAATCCAGGAATCCTGCAATCCCGCAGGCATAGGGACATTCTGCACTGGGCCTGGTGCTGGTGGCTCCAGTATCTGAGACACAGCAGATAGCGGGTGGCACAGAGCCCAGAGGCCCTGAAGGTCCATGACCAGGTGGATGGTGATGAGGTCAAAAAATGAACTGGGGATTACCAAAGGGATTAAGTCATCTACTCCTCTGCCGTCTGACCCTAAGCTGCTGCGTAGCCCACATGGAGAAATCGCTGCCTAATATTGAAACATCTTTCTATGGCCTCGGAGAATCTGCAAATAAAGACATGGTTCATGATGATCAAAGTACCAGAAGAAACCTAAGACTGTAAAAGCGATGGACGTTAAAGCCAGGGGATTGTGGTGTATGGTGTGTTGGGAAAGGATGGTGTTCAGGAAGGGGCAGGTGTATCCAAGTGTTTTCCAAACCTGTGGGGTTGTTTAAATTCCGCCACAGGCGCTTCACCTACCTGTCTGCGATGTAGCCGATACCCACAGAGCCAATAAAAAATCCTGCGTTCACTGATGACTGAAACAGGTCCAGCATCCAGGAATTGGCACACACCAGGTTAAACTGCCGATGCGTGAGATGTGTTCCGAGAGAGGAGAGAAAGAAAACGAAATCCCATTAGGATCCTGTTGGACACAACTCAACCCAGGAAACTCGTTCACTGTTCCTTGAATGGAACTGCGTGGCTGAATGGCAACAAACCAACTGCTTTTTGACCATGTTAATTTTCTTTATGCGACCAAAAGATTTGCCCTTCCCTCTGGGTGTTTGTCATTAGGCTGACTAAATCAGCTGAAATTGGGTAATTATTCCACTTACAGACGAGTTCATTTTTTTCCCTTCTAACTTGAATACACGGAGCCAAATAGGTGTGTTGACATGGTACAGAAGCAGCCCTGCGGAGGTGGAGCTGCGAAGCGTCTCTTTGCTGTCCCCTTAACGGCAAGGGCATTAGGGGCGCCCCGCTAACGGCTCTCCTTCGCTCTCCTCTGGACTAAGAGGAGGTGGTCAGGGGACCCAGGGGATGTGATGTGACTGCCAGGCTAACTCTGCTAAGTCCCTCCCGGTGTGGCCTGGGGCTGAACTCCCTCATCTCTGCAGGAAGGGATGAGATGAGCCATGCCAAGAGCCTCTTAAAGTACGTGGTGTGAAGTCCACGAGCTTCCACATTTCCCGGAACTATTTGTCCACTTCAGATCCTCCAAAATAGGCTTCTTTAAACGTCTGTTCACGCAAAACCCCCAAGCAGTCTTGCTGAACGAAGCTGGGCACCTGGCTTCCTCAGTATTCTCAGAATGACCTCATTCCCCCATTTTGCTTTGCTTTCAGTAAAAGCAAGTCTCCATTTTTAAATTTCTATCTATTGAAATGAGACTTCACGATTAGCTCTTAATGTGTCTATGGTTTTTGACAAAGTAGCAGTGCCGTAGCATCATCTCCAGCCTCAGGGTTTTACATGGACCTTTGACCGAGTTAGAGAAAAAGACGGCCACTGAGGGAGAAGTGTCGACACACGCCGCCACACACTGAGGCACAGCTCGGGAAGTCCCCTGCTCTCAGGGGTCCATCTGTGCGGTGGAAGAGCACAGGGAGAGGTAGGGCTTCCAGAAAAGGAGGAGGCTCAATAATATCCCCTTTCCTGGCATCATTTCCTGGAGTTCTGATGTGCCTTTGCTCATTTCTTGCTGCTGAGACATGCATAAGCTAGCTAGCATCATTGCTGTCAGAATTTGAGGAAACTAATTTTTAGTTTGAACTAATCCACTCAATGTCCACACACATTAGAAGCTGCCGGCTTTCATTCGGAAACTAGGGTTTTATAAGCGACGTGGAGTCCAAAGAGCATGTCCAGACACAGCTATAAGAGCCGGGTCTTTCCTGGTTTTTCCCCTAAGAGAAACTCAATTATTTGCTCTGCATGGGAGGCCTGAGCTCACTCACCTCGGTGACGACGGAGGAGCCGGGCGTGTCGTACACCCAGCCGTGCTCGCAGGGGCCCAGCGGCAGGTGGCTCCTGTTGGCAGCCAGGCCAGCCAGGGGGTCCACGCAGCGCAGGGCGCTCTGGTTCCAGTCCACCTCATAGCGCCTGCACTGGCGCGGAAAGGCCTCGCCCGCGGGCCCCGGGCCCGGCACCGTGTAGTTCAGCTCCTCTGCCCGGCTCCAGCCGCAGCGCCGGCTCAGGTCGGCCACCCCGGGGCTGCGGCAGTGGTGGTCGGGGGTGAAGCCCAGGAAGACGATGCCCACATAGATGGGCGCGAAGGCAGCCGAGAGCAGAGCCAGGAGGAAAAACGTTTGTTTCTGGAAAAAGTGGAATCCCCCTATGTGTTCCAGAATGTCGTCCACGGTGGGCATGGTTCCTGAGGCCAGCAGTCCTGCTGCTGTCCTGAGATGTCCGAGTGCTGCTGAGAGCGGCTGCGGCCAGCTCAGCACAGATCCCGGCCAAAAGTCGAGGGGTGAGAGTTGACCTGAGAAGGAGACCTTGCTCAGGCTTCAAAGTGTGCAGCTCTCCAGCCGTGTGTGTCCTGCTGTGCTCCCAAAGTGCCCTGAGCAGGCTCCCAGGGCACGGATGGCACTAGTGCTTCATGAGCTTGTGGCTACCTCACACCGGCACCACAAACAGCCCTTTCTCCGTGTCCCAGGGGAGGAATCTGAGTGCTTTCCCATATCACAGCCCGTTAATCTTCCTCTGGCACCCTGAGTGGCCAGGAACCTAATATATTCCTATCTCCCCTGCACCGCGGTCCTTTCTTCAGGGCGTGTGCAGAAAGCACACGTGTTTGGCTGCCCAGCGGGTGTGTGCGTCAAGGTCTCGGGTCTGCGCCCTTGTCCACACTCAGACTGGTCTGCAAGCCCTTCCACTGGGCTCGTTCTCCAAACAATGAGTGTGCTCAGGACGCATGCTGTGACTGCTTGTTTTGATTTTTTCCAGATTTTATAATTCTGCTTTTTAAAAGTGTTTTTGCTCCAATCTGGCATTCTTGCCTTTTAACCCTGAAGTTTCCGTGAGGAAAGTATAAAGTGCTCACCTCATGCATGGACAGGTCAAGTGTAAATGCAAGTGGGGTGTGTTCATGCCACTGTCTTTTTATTCTAGATTTTTCTGTCCATGCTCTGTTGGGGCTCAGAAAATGACACCCCAAAGTGAAGGCATCAGAAGAAAAGTCTGACCTTCTCCTGCCCTCCTGTCTCTAGCCCCTTATTCTCCCCGACCGCTAGCCATGGAAATAGAATCCCTTCTCTCCAAGGCAGGCCATAGAAACCAGAACCCCTTTTTCCCAAAGCCAGCCATAAAGCCTAAACACATCACTCTAACCTTTCCCCTGCCTTTCTGTGTAGCAGCTGGCCATAAAGAAACGAACACCCTCATTCCAGAGGGGCCTGCCCCGTAGCTGGGAGGAAGGAATGCTGCGCAGCGAGGCCGGGAAGAATCCGCACAGACAGGCCTTGCTGGGTTCTCCCTCTGCCTGTCAGCGCTAGTTCATACCCTCGTCCAGTCTCAGTGCTGTACGCTGTCCATTCTTCGTGGAACCTAAGCATAAAAATGAACGGCTTTCCCTGCATTGCTGGGTCTTCGTGCTGAAGGCCCGTGTATCACATACAACTATGATCAAGTAAATTTGTTGTGCTTTTCTCTTGTTAACCTGTCTTTTGTTACAGGGTTGTCAGTCGTGACCCTTATGATGGGGAGGAAAGATCTTGCCCCCTTCTGCCCCACGGGTCAGGGGTGTCTCTTTGGGAAGGTGTTGGTGTGCCCAAATGCAGAGGCAACAGGCCGTCTGTCATTCCTGGTGGACCAGAGGATCCTTAATGCATCGCGACTGCCACATGGAGAAGGTGCCTGCTGGCGCATCTGCATAGCACACCACCAGAAATTTAACCCAGTTTTCTCTCTTCTTTTGTTTCTATAAAATAGTCAAAGGGTATAATAGCATGGTCCAAAAGTAGTGACCCCTAGGAGTCTTCCCCCTCACTGCAGTTGCAAGCTTTTTGTTTTGTTAAAAAAGCAAAAAGCAGGGCACCAGCGAGGCCATCTGCTGACTGACCTCCCCTGCATGCGTCGGGCAGCAGAGGCCACTGCCAGTGCTGTCTGCTGTGAGCTGAGTGAGTGGGCTCAGAGCAGCGCGGGGACTTCTTGGTTGCAACCAGCGTCGTTAGTGAACAGGCAAGAGCTGAGGATGGTCTGCCATGAGGTCTCTGCATTCCCCACCCCCAGCCTCCACCTCCACGGTGACCACAGGGCCATGGAGCCTCCAGTTAAAAAGTGACTGAGGTCGTCGAACCTCGCTGCACCCTGGGGGCCCACAGACGGTGCTGACTGCCTCTTCCTAGGAAAGGTGCAGACACTTGCACTTCAGTCTGACTGATGGACACGGTTCACGGTTCACTTCGAGACACCAGACTTTACACCGTGAGGGAGGGAGCGCCAGGCGAGAGCCGCTTCACTGGCGGAGGGGAAGTGATGCTGAAATGCGTTAGGGATTACTTAGAGTGAATGATCTGATAGGAGATGTCAGGACTCAGACCGCTTGCAGCAATTCGTTTGCACAGTCCTTCGACACTGTTCCATACTCCGCAGCGCACTTGCCATAAAACCAATCCCGTTAGGTGACAGACTCCAGACTGCAGCAAAGCCACTCAGGGGAAACCGCAGAGGGAAGGAGCGTAGGGGCGGAGCTAACTCAACACTTACAATTTGAGTGCAGGTCTCTTGTGGGATGTGCCTTCCTTTATGGGAGTGTGCCCAGAGAGTAATCTGATCCAATGCCAAATGATCATTTAATCCATATAATCTGATAATTCATTGTCATTAATGTTGGAAGTATTTCTCAATCTTTTATCAGGTTCCTTTACAATGTAAATAAACACTGTCCCCAGGTTGCAATCTTCCGCGCAGCACCGAGGAAGGCCAGCTGTGCTCACACTTTCTCAGCCCCCCACACAAGAGGACAGGGGCAGTGGAGTTGGGAAGTTAGATGGATACCCTCCTACGGCAAGCCGGGCGCCAAGTGTTTGGAGGATGCCAGGGCAGAACAAGGGTGATCCACCAGCAATCGGAGAGGAGACTTTTGGGTCCTTTGTTAAGCAGGATGCTTTTAGTAGTTGATATCTGATCTATTGGGGTCAATGCAACTTGCTAAGCTGAAGTCTACCCGAGACAAGAATGATTGACATCAGTGTCTCACAGGGATGGGTGCTGTGTGTTCTCTACTTCCTCTCCCTTTCTCCCTTTTTTCCTTCCTCTCTGCCCGGCTCCCATCCCACACATGCCTTTGTTTTCTTCTTCAACTCCCTGCTGCCCATCTGCGTCACCGCCAGGTGGGTTGGGCATAGGGCTCCGTGACCAAGCAGAGCTGCAGGTGATCTGCCTTGATCCAGAATTGTGGCCCACGGACCCTCCTGGAGGCAAGGCACCTCACAGGACATCAGAGTAGCGCGTCTGATGCTTCAGCTCCTCAATGTCTGTCCCAGGTAGCTACATGTAAATTCTTCCTGTTCAGTGTCAGCTCACGCTGTTGTTGGGCGCTACTGATTGCTGGAAAGATCTTCCTCATTGGGCACCAGGTTTAATTTTAAATAGCTCTGGGGAATCGTTTTTTTAAAAAGACCCAGAAAGCTAAGTACTAAGTTTCCTTCCTCCTGGATAATATTTGTCTTTAAAGACTATTATTACTTTATGTAAAATTAAGTACAAAGTATTTAGTTTGGCCTTTGGCCTCCAAGGGGGTGATGGGGTTCGGGATGTGCCACTCCAAAATGCCGCGCCATGGCGTTTGAGCAAACAGCAGAAGCAGGAAAGTCTCTCTCGCCTTCCCTTGCCCCTCTCTTCTGAATCAGGTCATAATACCCTCCTTTGAGAGGCGGCTGTCCTAGACCTGAAGACACAGGGACACAGAGAAGAATCTAAAGAAAGACATGTGACTGAGTTCCCCAGTTCATTCCTGTGGGAGCCCTCGTCCCACCGAACTTCCCTGCAGCCGTCCGCGCTTCGTCAAAGCCAAGCTTAGAAACACACGGATTAAGTGCATTTAACGTCGCGGCTGTTCCTTTAACCTGACGTCAGGGAAAAGAAAAGATTTCTTCTCACCCATTGCTGGGTTCATGGCCGAGGCCCCTGTCAACAAGAGACAGCTTAACAAGAGAAAAGCAAACACATTTATCTAAGTTTTACATGACACGGGAGCCTTCGGAAGTGAAGACCCAAAGAAACAGGGAAATCCGTGTGTTTCTAAGCTTGGCTTTGGTCTGGCCACTCTGGGTCTTCACACGGTTCCACTTGCCAAAGCGACTTCCCATTAACAACTAGATACGATTAGAATTTCCTTGGGCATTTAACCTGCAGAAACCCAGGCAGGAGTTAACTTCCTGACCGCACCGCGTTCTTCAAAGAGAGAATCCAGGGAGACAGGAAGAGCGCCCTGTCAATGTTGCGTGGAGAACTGTTAGGGAATGAAAAGACAAGGATCTTTTCTGTAAAATTTTTATTGGCATAATTCTCAGCGATTATAAGGAATCAGCAACCAATTTCCTCCTTGATCGAGTTATTATTTCTTAAGACTGTTTATTCAGAGCATCAAGGAAAACAGTGCATATGTCTGTCTGTTTATGATAAAGGGATTCCAACACAGGTGTGTGTGGGCTAGAATCAAAGGGCATGTATAATGCTAACATTGATTCATTCCAAACTGATTTAAGAAAACAAAACTGGTGTCAGAAACAGGCCTTTTAATTCACGGCAAAGCCGTGTTACTTAGCAAGAGAATGGGGAAAGACCAGGAGAAGAGTTGAAGGACTGTTTCCAACAAGGTGGAAATTTTTAAGTGGTTATTAAGAAATAAGGTGAACAAGCGCCATATGTACTCACCATCAAAGTGGTATTAACTGACCAATGCTTATGTGCACAGGTAGTAGTAACATTCGTTGGGTGTCTGCAGGTGGGGGGAGGGGATGCATATATTCACACCTAACGGGTGTGGTGCACACTATCTGGGCAATGGACACACTTGAAGCTCTGACTCGGGTGGGGCAAAGGCAATACACGTAACCTAAACATTTGTACTCCTGTGATATGCTGAAAGAAAAAAATTAAAAAAAAAAAAGAAAGAAGGTGAATAAAGAAAATATTGAAAGGAGCAAAACATAGAGGAAAAAGAAAGTGGAGAATCACAGGACTTGTCCCAGCAGGGTCAACATCGCTAGATGGTTATTAAGAAATGGGATGAATCAAACAGACATTGATGCGGGTTGTTAAGTCAAACTAAATTCTGGCGTGGGAAAGCCTCCACACTCGCTCATGCTTGAGTCCTTATGATCAAACCATAACCTAACGTAGCAGACGGGCAAACCGAACACCTATGTTCGGGGGACGCTTCTGCACCAGCAGCTGCGGTTCACTCGGCCAGTCCCCGCGGCCATGCTCCAGCCACTCGCAGGCCACCGACTGTTTGGACCGTGTGCCAATAA